CTTTTGGGACTTCATCAAGATAAAAAGCTTCTGCACAGCAAAGGAAACAGCCAACAAAACAAAGAGGCAACCCACAGAATGGGAGAAGATATTTGCAAATGACACTACAGATAAAGGGCTGGTATCCAAGATCTATAAAGAACTTCTCAAACTCAACACCCAAAAAACAAATAATCAAGTCAAAAAGTGGGCAGAAGATATGAAAAGACACTTCTCTGAAGAAGACATACAAATGGCTAACAGACACATGAAAAAATGTTCATCATCATTAGCCATCAGGGAAATCCAAATCAAAACCACACTGAGATACCACCTTACACCAGTTAGAATGGCAAAAATGGACAGGGAAAGAACAAATGTTGGAGAGGTTGTGGAGAAAGGGGAACCCTCTTACACTGTTGGTGGGAATGCAAGTTGGTACAACCACTTTGGAAAACAGTGTGGAGGTTCCTCAAAAATTGAAAAATAGAGCTACCCTGTAACCCAGCAATTGCACTACTGGGTATTTACCCCAAAGACACAGATGTAGTGAAAAGAAGGGCCATATGCACCCCAATGTTCAGAGCAGCAATGTCCGCAATAGCCAAACTGTGGAAGGAGCCGAGATGCCCTTCAACAGATGAATGGATAAAGAAGATGTGGTCCATATATACAATGGAATATTACTCAGCCATCAGAAAAGATGAATACCCAACTTTTACATCAACATGGATTGGACTGGAGGAGATTATGCTAAGTGAAGTAAGTCAAGCAGAGAAAGTCAATTATATGGTTTCACTTATTTGTGGAACATAAGGAATAGCATGGAGGACATTAGGAGAAGGAAGGGAAAAATGGCGGTGGGGGAATTGGAGGGAGAGATGAACCATGAGAGACTATGGACCTGAGAAACAGGGTTTGAGGGGGGAGGGGGGATTGGTTAGCCTGGTGATGGGTATTAAGGAGGGCAGGTACTGCATGGAGCACTGAGTGTTATACGAAAACAATGGATCGTGGATCACTACATCAAAAACTAATGATGTATTGTATGGTGACTAACATAACATCATAAAATTTTTTAAAAAATTTACAACAGGGAAAAAAAATTATCATTTTATACTCACCAGATTGTCAAAAATTAAGTAAGGTAATGTCAAGGACATGAAGAAACAGGCAGCTGCACACACAGGTAGTGGAAGTATAAACACATACATCCATTCTGGAGAGCAACATGGCATTGTGGAGTGGACAGACATTTATTGCTACAAAGGGTACCAGGGAGTTGGAAATGGGGGAAAGATGGGTAACATGTGGCTGATGTGTGCTCCTGGGTACTCACATACACTAGAAACACACTCAAACTATCTAATTTACAGGGATATATACATACCCAAGGATCTGTATAAATCCTGTTAGACTGGGTGCCAGATCTCATGGGGAAGGATGGAGAGTGAATAATCAGGGATGAATGGAAAAAGCAGTAAGGCAAAATAAAACCAGAGTGGGGCCTCCGCCAAGCTCTGTGATGATATTTCATGGACTAAATTTTTTTTTCTTTCAAATAAGAAGCACCACAAAGCCTTCTTTTTTTTTTTTTAATGTTTTATTTATTTATTCATGAAAGTCAGAGAGAGAGAGAGGCAGAGGGAGAAGCAGGCTTCCTGCCTAGCAGGGAGCCCAATGTGGGACTCGATCCCAGGACCCTGGGATCATGACCTGAGCCGAAGGCAGACGCTTAACCATCTGAGCCACCCAGGCACCCTCATGGACTAAATATTAACTCAGCTTTGTGTACCTAAGTTTCCTCCCCGAAAATAAAATTTACTTTATGTTTTTTAAAAGATGGAATGAATCTACAGGGACGCCTGGGCGGTTAAGCGTCTGCCTTCAACTCAGGTCATGATCTCAGGGTCCTGGGATTGAGCCCCATGTCGGGCTCTCTGCTCAGCGGGAGCCTTTTTCTCCCTCTCCCTGCTGCTTCTCCTGCTTGTGTTCTCTGTCAAATAAATAAAATCTTAAAAAAAAAAAATCACAAAAAAACCTTTAAAAAAATCTTAAGATGGAGTGAATCTACAATTATATCAAAATAATTGAAAGTGTTTAAAAGAAAAGAAAAAGCATTTTTAAAAATTTATTTTAAAAGAAAGGTTTGTATGAGGTAAAGACTTCTTGTCATTTATCAGTGGTAAAATTCTCGTTATCAACAGTGAGGTTTTAAGCTTTTACCAGGAGTCGTAATTGGTTCTGCTGTGTTCTCACAGCTTCTGTTAAAGACCTTTTATCTTCTCCAGTGATAGCTTAAGTCCACAACACAGACAAAATTAGAATAGAGAAGAGCCCTTCTTTTGTCTACCTCTTTAAATGTTGAGTTTATAGTTAATTCTCAGTTTACTCCAAACTGTCACATAATCTAAAACTCTAATTTGGGTCCATGCTTTAGGTTTAATGCCCCTTTTCCTAGACTTTTCTTCTTCTTCTTTTTCTCCTCCTCAAACTACCCTTGGGGGAAGTATTAGAAATCAAATACTGACCCGGAGGCAGAAAGGGGATCTTAGAAAAGTCAGAAGCCAGGTACTCTGGACCCTAGGAATGGATCCAAGTATCTTTCTGTTACTGTTCCTCTCTCCTCCACCAAAAACAAATAAATCCAAAATCCTAGTGTTTTGTCTAGAGGTCAGTGCCATCAGAATCATGATCTTTAATTATGTTCTATTTTATACTGTCCTTCGTTGAGATCAGTGAAACATGGACCCCTTACTCTTTAGTAGTACCTCCCACCCCCTCCCACGGTTTAATCAGCACCTACCAGTTGGTTGCCTGGTCAGTTAAATAATGCTCTGCAAAAACATTTTTCTTTCCCAGCATAATCAGTTAAAATTATGACATCCTGAGTAGATCTCTGGGGTGGGGAAAGGTATGTAATATGTTTTGTCAGCGATTTCTTGGGTATTGTCAAGAATTACTGTTAACGTTTGTTGTGGCTACCGTTATTATTACTGATATTCCAGACCTGTCAGTTATCCCTTAGAAGAAAGAAGGAAGTTACCTCCCTTAAGCAGTTGATCAGTTCTCTTGTTGTGATAAAAGCCTCCAGAGCGAATCAGTAAACTAACTTTGCATCTTTTGCCATAATTTTGAACAATTGAAAAAATGCTAAAAAATTTACCCTGGATAGTCCTCAAAGAGCAAAAAGTAAGAGTAAAACTTGGTATACAGGAGAAATACTGAGCAAGATTTTATATGATATTAACAAATTAGGTACTTGTATTTTTATCACAGGCATGGAGGCCCCTAGTCTTGACCTTTGCCTTGTGTAGTTTTGGGGGGTTTTTTTAGGAGCATATTCTACATGTTTCTAAATGATCAAACTCTGAGAGATGGCAGAATCAGACAGATGTGGGCTTGAATTTTAACTCTACCATGAATTGTATATCCATGAGTAACTGAGTCTCATCTCCTTTATCTGCATGAGGAAATATTACCTGTCTTTACAGGGGTATTGCCTCCATTAAATGAGATGATGCATGTGGAGTACCGGCACAATGTCCCCTCGTTGGTCAGGGCTCAGGCCACACGGGAGCAATTTTACAGTTAGTCTGAGGGTGGTCTCTGTTCCAGATGTGGTAGAGTCAGATCCTAGTCCTGCTTTGAAGCTTTTGTGGGGTGTAAATCATATATCCCAATTGAGAAGAGCAGAATTTATTTTTAACTTAAATTTTAAAGCTTTGAATAGTCCCTTTAGGTTTTTTTTAAGATTTTATTTATTTATTTTGGGGGGGGTGGCAAAGGGAGAGGGAGAGAATCTCAAGCAGACTCCATGCTGAGTGCAGAGCCTGACATGGGGCTCAGTCTCACGACCCTGAGATCATGAGCTGAGCCAAAATCAAGAGTCGGATGCTTAATCGATTGAGCCACCCAGGCACCCCTGAAGAGTCCTTTTAGTTTTTTATAAGTCAGTCTCAACTAAAATACTACTACTACTTCATAACAGCATGTCATCAGAATTCACATATTATTGGAATAGAGTTCTTACTAGTTTAAATCAATCACACATACAAAATAAGTAATTAGCCAAATTTGTTTTCAAAAGTAAGTAACTATGTTCTGAATGCTTACTCTACGCCAGCACTGTTCGAAAGGCTTTTTTTATGTTCACATACTCATTTAACCACCCCATGAAGTAGATACTATTATTGATCCTATTTTATAGAAAGAGGAAAGTAAGACACAGAGAAGTTAAGTAATGTGTCCCTAGGCTCACACAGTAGAGTAGAAGAACAGTTAATACAATTCATTTGTTATTAAAACATTCTAAGAGTTAATTTGGAAAGGAGAGGATATCCTAGAGAGCTGCAGCCTACATGGACTTACCACCAGATAGGACAAACAAGACTTAGAGAACTTTACTGGGTTTACAACAAGAAGTTTCGGGCTGCCATCTGTCTCTAGAATAATACGGGTGTATGTTTGTCTATTGAAGGGTAATACCACCTGCTTCCATAGGAGGAAACCAATTCATTAAGCATATTCTTTGTTCTTGGTCCCAGAGAATAAAATTACTTGATATATAGCCAGGACAAGAATTTTCAGTTACTCTTTGTTCTTCCTAAGAAGGTATAAAAGCATATTAAATTTCTCTATTTGTAGAGGTACAAATATGTAACAGTTCACTTAACTCTTTGCTGAAGAATAATTTGAAGAATTTCTAAAAATCCTGAATCAAAATCTGAGCAAAAATAAAAAGCTACAGTTCATAACTTTTCAAATGGCATTCAAGAGCAATTAATTACCATATAACTTCTTAACATTGTTTTTAGCTTAACCTAGCTCTATATTGCCTAATAAAAATATGCAAAGAGCGTAAATTACAGAAAGATGTGAGAAATGAAAATAATTCATTGCACTTCTATTTAGAAAACATCCTAGTAGATCGTGTGGCATCCAGAGATTTACATTACAGAAATCCTTTAAATAACTGTTTTTAGTAATTGGTGTATGTTTTTTATCCCTTTGTTTTGCAGCGCAAGACCCATCAGTTTTTTGTCAAATCTTTCACTACCCCTACCAGATGTCACCAGTGCACCTCTCTGATGGTGGGTTTGATAAGACAGGGCTGTTCCTGTGAAGGTAAGAACAAAATGGCAGGAGAGTGTGATATTAGAGTCCTAGCGTTGGCTTCCTAACTGTAATCACGTAACTGTATTCCCCATCCGACTCTTGGTTTATGGCTCAGGTCATGATCTCACAATATATAAGTGTCTGCTTGTTCTGCTTTTTTCTGATAACAGGAGTACAGATAATAAAGCAAGCACCTTGCTACATGTTGAACAGGGGAGAAACTGGACGGCCCCTAGAAACATTTTTCAGGGGAGACCTCTGTCAGTGTGGCTCATTCATCTTTGTTTCGTTATGCGGGTGAATTTGTGGTTCTGGGAAAGCGTTAAGCTGAGTGACAGAAGACATAAAAGTTATCCTTGAATCTGTTCATTTAACTCTCACCTTGCTTAATTTCTCTAATAAGAGAAATCATTCTTCAGAAGTAGGCAGTTCAGTATCTTTTCAGAAATATTAAGTGTCTGCCACTTTGCCTCAGAAAGATATTTTATTCCCAGTATTTGTATCAGTGGATTTTCCTACCGCTCATTGACTCATTGATTCATCCATGGTGTGTTCATGGAATGCCTGTCCTGTACTTCTAGACACCGTGGTGTAGTCGGGGATGGGGAGAAGACTGAGAGCCTGCCCTCGAGGAGCTCACATTCTGAGAGATGAGAGATCAGGGGTCATTTGAACAGAAAACAAAGTATATTTGTCTGGGCACCACTTTATTTTTCCTAAGACTTCTGAAATGAAAATGACTTAAATAATTATAATGGGATACACTGTTTGGGAATAGTTTGGGAATACACTTTTTTTAATCAAATCAAATTTATCACTGTAACAATGCCTTATGTATCATTTACTGATCTATCTTATGAGAAAGATAAAATAGTTGCTAGTTCAAATTCTAATATGAGTTTCCATTTCTTAGCCTTTAGGGTTGGAAGGGACTTTGCAGGGAAGGTCATCAGTGCACATCAGAAGCAGGCGTTCCCCTTGTAGAATGTGCTTGTAGTTTGTATTTGGTCACTTTGAATCAAGGGGCTGTTAATGGCATCTTAAGGCAGTGCATTCTATGTCCGATTAGCTCTCACAGCCAAAGTAGAAGCTCCAGATTGCATCATCCCAGCTAGTTGTGTAGATGCATGGGTTTAGAGCCAAAGCAAATGGTCTAGGGTGAAAAGTAGATTTGAGAGTTATGAGCATACAGAGTGATGAAGGGGAATGGCGTTTTCCAGGAAACACACAGAGTGAAAAGAGAGCAAGTATGAGGACGGAGCCTTAGGAAACAGCTCAGGGGAGGTGAAAGGTAAAGACAGCAAAGTAATCTGAAAAAGGAACAACCTGTGTCATTGACTGGGAAGGTGTGATGGAAGCCAAAGGAGAGAATTCGTAGTTTTTAAGCCTTGTCCCATTTTGGATTTAGCCAGTACTTATAAGTGTCACTTTTAGGGGCATCTGATGCCATCATCTGGATGGCTCAATCGGTTAAGCATCCGACTCTTGGTTTATGGCTCAGGTCATGATCTCAGGGTCCTGGGATCAAGCCCTGCATTGGGCTCCACGCTCAGTGGGGAGTCTGCTTCAGGATTCTCTCTCTCTCTCTCTCTCCACCCCTCCCCCAGCTCTCTCTGTCTCTAAAATAAATAAATCTTTAAAAGAATAAAATACAAATAAAAATAAATGTCATTTTAAAATCTGTTTATCAGAAAGAATCCTGGATAGGTACCTGGTGTTAGGTCCCTTATCATTTCTTATGCATCAGAATCATTTGCAATTACATGGTAGGGGTTTTTGAGATCTCCCAAGCCCCTTTCTAGAGTCTCACATCATGAAATTGTACGTTTCTTTCCTGAAGACCCTTTTTCTTTTTTAAAGTTTCTTTTTTTTTTTTTTAAGATTTTATTTATTTATTTGATAGAGGGAGACACAGCGAGAGAGGGAACACAAGCAGGGGGAGTGGGAAAGGGAGAAGCAGGCTTCCGTGGAGCAGGGAGCCTGATGCGGGGCTCGATCCCAGGACCTGGGACCATGACCTGAGCCGAAGGCAGATGCCCAACAACTGAGCCACCCAGGCACCCCTTTCCTGAAGACTCTTAGTACCCTGCCCTGTACACTGTGGGGACACGTTAGACCCTGCCCAGGCTTTCATAAATGTTATGGTAATGTGGTTACAGCCTCCAAAGATTCCTATCATTTTAATTTCTTCCTGGTTGATTGAAGTTAGATCCTGTATAGGACAATTATTTTGTTGCTTCCTCTGCTTTTGGAGGTGAGATTTTTGCCTAATTAGTAAAACAAATTATAACTTGTTAGACACTCTACTTAAAAGTGAACGAGATGTCTTACAGAAATTTGGTAGTTTTGACAGTCAGTACTAGTTCATCTTGCCCCTCTGATGGTTTCATAATGCCTATCAGTGGTGTATGATACATTTTCCCATGTGCATGCATTCCCTGATGGTATCCCTTTAGGTCCTCTCTTAATCTTTCCCAAATATTCTCCAGGACTGACCCTTAGAGTAGGAATTGTCTAAATGAATATTCTTAGTCTACAGCCCCTTCCAACAAGTTTGTTTGTTTTAAATATTTTATTTTTTTTTTTTTAAGATTTTATTTATTTATTTTAGAGAGAGAGAGAGTGAGTGGAGGGAGGGACAGAGGGCGAGAGAGAATCTCAAGCAGACTCCCCGCTGAGTGCAGAGCCCGGTATGGGGCTCAATCCCACGACCCTGAGATCATGACCTGAGCTGAAATCAGGAGTTGGAGGCTTAACCAACTGAGCCACCCAGGCATCCCCTAAATATTTTAATTGTCATCCAACCAAGTCTCGGTGAAACTTATACATTTATTTTTGTTTATCCTGTTTCTTGGAGTCTCAAGTTCATCATACGTGTATCAGGTAGAGGTATCATGGCAGCATTGTTGGTAGAGTGGGCTCTGAGCCCGACTGCCTGGGTTTGAATTCTAGCAATGCCACTTACAAGTCCTGTGACCCAGGGCAAGTCCATCATAAATAGGAGTAGCTGTACCTCTCTTAGATTGTTACAGAGAAATGTACTCAATAAAGTTGACCATTATTATGATCTTAGTCATAGCTGAAGTATCTATAATGATATTAACAAATCCTAAAGTTTACCCGTGATTTATACATTTTTAATCATTAAACAATTTCATTTTCAAAAAGAGGGATTGGTAAAGTTTGCCAGATACTGCAAAGATGTCAGGTAATTTCATGTCCATTAGTGACTCTGGCAAGAGAAACTTTCAGGGCAGATACCAAGTTGCAGTGAGACGAAGAGTTAGAACTCTAGAAACTACTTTTTGGAATGCCAAGTTTAAATCAACTGTTGTATTCACAAGCTTAGATTTTTTTTTTCCTATGTATTGGCTGCTCTTCATTACTAATACTAACACAAAACAATATTACAATAATAAAAATCTTTACAATTTCTCATTGAAATTCTTATTAGTAAGCAAATGAATCGGCTCCCCAAATGACAAAACAGTTCTTTAAAGCAAAGCCACAGATAAGCATTCATCTACTATAGCCCCTTGTATGTAATGAGTGCTCAGTGAATTATCTTTTTGTAAAAGTGAATTTTTATTGAACATTGTTTTTTTTCCCCCCTTCAAAAGTGTGTGGATTTTCATGCCATATAACTTGTGTAAACAAAGCTCCAACTGCTTGTCCAGTCCCGCCTGAGCAGACAAAAGGGCCTCTGGGGATAGACCCGCAGAAGGGAATAGGAACAGCATATGAAGGTCATGTCAGGGTAAGTCTGATTAGGTTGGGTTTAGATTAATCTTTTGAGGTTGATTAATGACTGAAAATAAAGTGCAGTCGTCTTACAAACATACTCCTTGCCAGAAAAGTAGGCGAATAAAATTCATCTAATAATTTTTATTTCATCCAGAGTGATTTGAAAACAAAAACCTGGCCTTTGCTTGGAAATAAATTCCAAAATGTCTACGGTTTTCTGTACTGTCCGTATCTTGTAACGAACAGATGTTGGAATCTCCCTAAAGGAGTCTTTGGCACCTGGTCTTCCTGGAGATGCAGTGTATGCCTATGACGTGTGAGATGTTATCAGGGGGTATTCTTACTTGTAATCCTGAATAGCATTTAAAGTGTAAGCTACATTTCATCATACTCCCAAATTTGACTTTTATGCTACTAAGAAAGAAATCCATGAATGTTATTTTAATGAATTATTAGTGAAAGTTAAAATGGTTTAAAATTTTTTAGAATAAAAAGTCATACAATATTTGAAGAATGTATTCTTACAGTTTCTCATGTTATCAGTGGTCTGTGTGTTCCATCTGCACTTGACCCCCCCCAGAGCGGCAGACTTAGGACACGTGTACATTATCTTTAGGTTTCCATCGTGCAGTTACATAGGTAACTGAGGGGGCTGTGACTAACATTTTAGTTTGAGTTGTTTCTGTTTCCTGAAGATCCCAAAGCCAGCTGGAGTGAAGAAAGGATGGCAAAGAGCATTGGCTGTGGTTTGTGACTTTAAACTCTTCCTATACGATGTTGCGGAAGGAAAAGCGTCTCAGCCCAGTGTCGTGGTCAGTCAGGTGATTGACATGAGGTAAGCTTTCAAAAGTGAAAATATTTGTGTCTTTATGACATAGGAATAAAAAAGTGGTTTTTCATCTAATTACATTGCCATATTTTTATTTAAATCTGATTTCATATTAATAATCTAACTTACTAATATTGCCAGAGTAATGTAATTAAAACCAGGAAGCAAGGTGTCGTTATAGGACAGGTTGATGTGTTTTGAGTGAGTGAGTTGGGGTTCGGGCTTAGGGAAAAGAAGCTAATGTTCGAATCCAAAAGACCAGCATAAAGATGGCTGGGGTGACAAAGGCCTAATACGTGGTCTTGTCACCTGAAGGTATAGATCGTAAATCCAGTGCAAGGAAAAATATCCCAGAATCAGATAGGTTCTTGGAGTATGTAATGAGCCGGGAAACATTTGAATGAGTCCATCTCTTGAATATTTCTGGTCTCACTCTTCAGGCCCTTCCCCTGCCCTGTGGAGTGCTCTCCTTTACCTCTTCTTGTAACTCCTGCACTCCCTTGGGGTGACTTATGAGCCCCCAGAGCTTCAGCTGTCACCTCTATGCTGATGACTCCCACACAGGCCTCCCTCCAGCTCTTTCTCCAGCACTCAGAACAAGGGTTTCCAGCCATGGTGCACGCTGGCATTTCATACCAGCACCTTAGACACATCCTCTTCCCCTCAGATACAGAATATGAGGAGATAGGTGCAGGAAACATTAGCAACGAAAGTCTGACAGAGCCTGCTCAGGGAATTGCTATAGAAAGACAGGGAGAAGAAGCAGAGACGAGACTAAGGCGTCAAGTCTTCAAGACCAAGAGAATGATGGCACTAAGAATTAGGAAGTCACAAGGAGTAAATTATTGTGGAGGAATTCTGTTTCAGGTGTTGACAGAAGAGTGAAATGTCAGATACGGTATGTTGTGGGCTCGTGAGCTGTGTTGCGGGAGGCAAGAGGGTGCGTTGTTCTGGAGGGTTCCGATCCCTCGTCTGCATGTACGGGTACTGACCTTGCAGCTGGAGGCAGCAGCTGTTGCTAGCCCTGTGTAATTGCCACTGCTAAGTTACCTCTTATAAATTCCTCCGGGCACCATCAATTACAGTGGCGAAAAAAACCAGTTTTTTTTTAATTCAATTTGAATGTTTTGTGCAATGAAGTTTTGAGGATTGTCCCATGTGTGTTATTTGGATGCACACCCTAAACACAACATACACACCCCATACACTGACTTTTAATGTTGCATTTTTCCTTCAGGGATGAAGAATTTTCTGTGAGTTCAGTCTTGGCTTCTGATGTTATTCATGCAAGTCGAAAAGATATACCCTGCATATTCAGAGTGAGTATGTGCACTGTAATTTGATCACTGAATTATGTGTTCTTAGTGAATATATATTTTGTCTCTTTATATAGATCATAAACTTACTAGGAAATAGTAAATCCTATATTCCTTAATGTGTTTTGTATCATCCGGTACTTGAATGTATAGACAATTAGTGCTAAGTAAATATTTTATTAGTAAAAGACCTGTAGAAAGTGTGAATATTTGGCTTCTAAAATAGTTTCATGTTGGGTGATACTTTTGAGCCACAATTCACATTCCAAATAAATATACCACATGGAAAATTGAGTAAGTGTGAGGTTTCTCAAGTTTTTGGAAAAGACAGGTTTCTTTTTAAAATCTCATTTAAAAAATTAATGTTTTATTTCTATTGCTTTGTAGTAACTACCTCAAAACTTAGTGGCTTAAACCAGTAATGATTTATTTTTTACCATACTGTGGGTCAGCTATCCAGTTTGAGTGGGGTTGAGTAGGGTCACTCCTGTGGCTACATTCGGCTCATTTGGGGCTGGAATATCCAGAATAACCTTGCTTCCATATCTGGGGCCTTGCTGCTGGCTGTCAGGCTGGGCGATCTCTGCTCTCTTTGTGAACTTTCTCCATGTGGTCTCTCATTCAGTCATCCAGCTGAGCTCTACAGGGCTGGCCTCCAAGAGAACAAGAGAAGCTGCCAGGCCTCTCTTTTAAGGACCAGGCCAAAACAGACATAACTCCCATGCATTCTGTTGGTCAGAGCATGTCACAAGGCCAGCCTGGATTTAAGGGGAGAGGAAATAGACTCCAGAGCTTGATGAGAAAAATAGAATTCCATAGAAAGAATTGTTGGTAGCCATCTTTGGAGGCTGTCTGCCCTACTACAGGGGGATCTTGAACTGGTAAATTAAGACAATAGATGTTTAAAAAAAAAAAAAAAGCCCACTGCCCTAATGTTATGCCCGTATGCTGAGTGTCTATGAATCTTGTATCTAAGAAAGGTCACCAAGGGAGCCTAAAGAGGCCCACTTGCCTAAAGCTGATTCACATAGTGGGATTTTATGGTCACTGCTGCCTTTAAGAAGGGATCCGTATATATAAAGTTTAAGTCTGTTCTGATTGTAAGTGCTATTTGTATAGTGATAAATCTTCATGTAAATACCAACTCAAGTGATCTGATCTTCTCTAAAATAATGTGAGTTATGTTATGAAGTAACGGAGTGTTATTGCTGACTTTTTAAAACAAGTTGAAAATCGGTTTGGTGTAGTGCTTCTGAGCATGGACCCAGGATCCCAGTCTGGTGGGACATCCTTGGAGACCGTGAGTCTCTGTGCCAGAGTATTTTCATATGTAAAATCAGGATATGATAGCAATACCTGTCTCATACTTGTAACATGCTCTGATCACTGCTCAGAGATTGCTCAGTAAATGTCAGCTGCTGTTGATGTATGAGTATGGGTCATGCATTTCTCAGTGATGGCATTCTGGCATTTTATAGCAAAGAAAATAAAAAATGGTTACTAACATTTAAAATGGTATCTAGATAGATAGCGGTATATGCTACCTCTGCTTTGTCATGAATTCTAATGTGAAGACTAGTTATTCTCCTGATTAGGAGAGCTGACCTCTGGTAAAGGTGTCATCTGATGAGTGCTCATTTTGTCAGCCAGAGTCTGGTCAACTAGCATCAGCATGAAACCAGTGTGGAGGCTGTCTGTTTTCTAACATAGGCTGATTAAACTATCCTAGGTCACGGCTTCCCAGCTCTCGGCGTCTGACAGCAGGTGTTCGGTCCTGATGCTCGCGGAGAGCGAGAGCGAGAGGAACAAGTGGGTGGGCATGCTCAGTGAGCTGCACAAGATTTTGAAGAAAAGCAAATTCAGAGACCGCTCAGTCTATGTTCCCAAGGAGGCTTATGACAGCACTCTGCCCCTCATTAAAACAACCCAGGCAGCTGCAATCATAGGTACGGACTTGCCCCGTTGACCGTGTTACCATAGTTGTTGACTAACCTACTGTGTGAGCAGGGCTGGCTTGCAGCTGGGAACCCCCAGTGTCCAGCATGGCGTGTGTTGTGCCCTGAATGCGCAGGAAGTGCCTACTGAGTGAGTGAGGCCATTGAGAGCTATGTTTTCCAGTAATTGAGAATAAGTACACTTTCCAAGTGTGTTTTCTTCTGAAAAAGCAACGGTGCTGAAGATTAACCTATTAACGATCTATTTTCTGCTGTGTGACTTAGAACAAGTTGTTTAACTTCTTAAAGCATAAGTTTCCTAGGTAAGATACAGGTTCCAGTTACCTCGCAGAAGTGATGGGGAGGTTTCAGGAAGGCGGGACATGTGACACAGGACACCCTGCATATCAAATGCCCTCAAGAAATGGCGGTGTCTGTATCTGGAGGTTTACATTTTTGTCTGTACACATCCAACTCTTTTGTTACTTTCTAGTCAATAAAAGCTAGTGAGTAGGGTTCAAGTGCCTTCCACAATTTTCCCTCCCAAAACAAGAAATAGAACTAGACCCAGGGTGCTTAACAAACTAGGTTTTTAATTTTTTTCACCCTTTATTGAATAAACATTTACTTCTTTTTGTAAGAATGGATATACTTTCTAATGATTGTTCCATTTAAAAAGACATGAGGTAACATTTACCACTGTAATCTGAAAGGAGATTTAATAGTACAAATTGTTATTGCTATTTTAAGTTACTTATTTCAGTTTTTTGCACCAAATTTCTTTATTATCTGTTTGTTCTATTAGTTTTACATAGTTTTACCTATTCATATTTATGTCTTCCATAGATCACGAAAGGATAGCGCTGGGCAATGAAGAAGGGTTGTTTGTTGTTCACGTCACCAAAGATGGTAAGAGAAAAGTTAATTATTGCAGAGTAACTTTCAACCATATTGTTAGACAAATCTAAACTCTAGATTCTAAATTCTAAGAAGAGCACGATTTGCTCTTATGCATTCTGTAATTGAAATTTTCCACACCTAATTTGATATGTTTATAAATCAAGATACCTTTTAATATTCTTTAATCCTCCTGAGGTCTTAAACTTGCAAGAATGTGTTGTGTTTCTTTTGTCATTCATTTAACAGCTCTGTGGCACAAACTCAGGTTGCATGCCTAAAGATAGATGTGAAAGATACAGCTTGATTTGTTCATTGCTCTGTTAGTGCTTGAAGAGGTAGCAGTCATTAAAATGTGTTCATGTGGGGGTGTTTTTCCCCACACTTAATACAACAGATTTTTTTCCAGGGAGAAATTAAATACTGAGTGAAATAAAAAGGAACCAATTTGCTAGTGTCCTGTCTTCAGATCAAGAGAGATCATGGGAAAACAATGCATTTAAACTACATCTGTTTGTTACCCGTAGAGATACCTTCAGGGGCACCTGGGTGGCTCAGTTGGTTAAACGTCTGACTCTTGGCTTCAGCTCAGGTCATGATCTCAGGGTCCTGGGATGGAACCCCTGAGCCTGGAGCCTGCTTGAGATTCTCTTTCCCTCTGCCCCTCTCCCTTGCTTCCGCATGCACATGCATATGTGCACTCTCTCTCCCTGGGGAAAAAAAAAGAAAGAAATATCTTCAGTGAAATGTACCTTAAAATAGCACCATGGTAAAGTTCCTGAGAACTTAGTGCCAGTAAAAAGGTTTTTCCTACAGATGTGGCATGCTTTATCACACAGGGATCCTTTGCCTTGGTTGCCGGAAATCGTGGTGCTGAATTTAACACCTCACTGTAGGTGTATGCAGTTGCCTTATAATGGATATAATTATCTTCCTCTTTCTCCATATGATTTGGATTTCTTATTTTTCTGTGTGTATCTTTGTCTTTATTATAAGTTGACATACCATTTTGAGTATAATTGGGATACGATTAGTAAATAAAACATTATTCTGCATTTGATTTATTATCATTTCTTTGCATAGAAATTATTAGAGTTGGTGACAATAAGAAGATACATCAGATTGAACTCATTCCAAATGATCAGCTTGTTGCTGTGATCTCAGGACGAAATCGTCATGTGCGACTTTTTCCCATGTCAGCTTTGGACGGACGAGAGACTGATTTTTATAAGCTGGCAGAAACTAAAGGGTGTCAGTCCATAATTTCTGGCAAAGTGTGCCATGGAGCTCTCACATGCCTGTGTGTGGCTATGAAAAGGCAGGTCCTCTGTTATGAACTATTTCAGAGCAAGACCCGTCACAGAAAATTTAAGGAAATTCAAGTGCCATATAATGTGCAATGGATGGCGATCTTCAGTGAACAACTCTGCGTGGGATTCCAGTCGGGATTCCTCAGATACCCCTTGAATGGGGAAGGAAGTCCGTACAGCATGCTCCATTCAAATGACCACACACTATCGTTTATTGCACATCAGCCGATGGATGCCATCTGTGCAGTTGAGATCTCCAGTAAAGAGTATCTGCTGTGTTTTAACAGCATCGGGGTATACACCGACTGCCAGGGCCGGAGATCGAGACAGCAGGAACTGATGTGGCCAGCAAATCCTTCCTTTTGTTGTAAGAGTCTCTTATTTTGGCTGTTTTACCTTTTTGTTTCTTTCCTTTTCCTTCCACCTCATCTCCTAAATATATTCACTCTTAATAACAGGTGGTTTTTTAAAGTCACCCTTAAGGTTTTGCCCAAGTGTCAATTATGTTGTTTAATTATGTGAAGTAACTACCATAGTTAGACCTCGGCCAGCAGGCTTGACATTACCTTGTACCTAGTTGAAGCTAATCTTTCTATGGAATATTTTACTTAAGTGGATTTTTAACCCATGTTATATTTTGAAGTAACTCTAAACAGTTATCTTCATGGTTCCCCAAAATACAGTGCTTGTGAGCGTTAACAGCTCATGAGACTTACTCTGGAGAAGTAGTTACTAAGTGAATTATTTAATCAGTTATGTAAAGGTATAATGCACCATCTGTAAGAAGTGTTTCTCTGTTTTATATTTTTATCTAGATAGATAGATATTTGAGATTGCCTGTTGCACTCTTTCGAGAAATATTAAGACATTAATAAATTATTGGATACTCATTACATGCCATCTCACTAGGATAAAGATAGAGAGCCCAGCTCAATAGGCAATTTTCCCCTGCTGGTGCAGAGTGGGAAGTAGGGAAGATTCATGACAAGCGAGAAGTTGCATTGGATTCTAAGTGCTCTGTAGCATAAGTACCAAGTTCTGGAGAGGGTGGTGGGAGGAGTGTCTGACCCCATGTGCTTTGTTTTTAGTGGAAGATACTTGAACATGCTTGAATCCTGAACTGGGGAACTAGGGAAAGGTTGACTGTGTGGTAAATACAGGAAATAGAGTAAGATACCCACGGAGGCCAGAGAGGATGGAATTCAGAACACAGGGGGAAGGATTTGGGGCCAGAGGCGTGAAATCTCCTCCACTGGAACCAGGTAGGAGGAGTGATGGGCAGGATACAGTTGAGTGTAAAGGTTTAGTGGGAGAAAAGTTGGGAAGGCCATACATGCTTATTACAGAAAAGTTAGAAAATCTAGATTAAAAAAAAGAAAGAAAAATACTTGTAATTCTACCCACCCAAACCTAACTATTCTTAAAGTTTTGTTTCTTCTAAAATACGTACTCTTATCTGTGGTGTCCTATGTAGAATAAGGACTGTTTGGTAACCTGGTCAGGTAATAATTCCAAGTATTACTTCTGATATGGAATCAGAATATCTAGCTTTTATGAATTGCTCGGCCAGGGATGTAAAACGCGACGTCAGCTTAGGTCAACCATCTCATCTCTTCTTGCTTGTGTCACCGTCTGTTGTTGTTCATTCTTCCAGTAAGTGGTTTTGAACATTTACCCCATTCACGTGCCTGTGTCAGGTGTGTGATCCTATGTTCATAGATGCGATGGCAGGTCTCACCTAAAGATTGCTTTGTAAGTATCTTAACTGGTTTAGGAATCAAATACTTTTTTAAAAAATGTAATGACATCCCTTTATAGAACTTGTATTGGAGAAGGGAATATTCTGCCGTCTGTGTTAGCAGAATCCTTATGTATTAAAGTGGCCGTCTGACCCACAGCATGTCCTCTGCTCATTTATGACTTATGTTCTGTCTGCCTCAAAAATGTTTTGAAGCGGCTACTACATGAACACAGTAGGATTTGGGTGGGATTCTGCTCTACAATTATTTAGCATAGATCTTTCAAAATGTTTGGGGTTTACAAGTTAGGAGTAATTAGCCACTGTTCCCTCCTTCCCTTCTTGCAGGTTACAATGCACCATATCTCTCGGTGTACAGTGAAAACGCGGTTGATATCTTCGACGTGAACTCTATGGAATGGATTCAGACTCTCCCACTCAAAAAGGTAATTTCATGTGAAAATATGGGCTAAGCACACTAATGAGTGTAGTCAAACACTAATGAGTGTATTCAAACACTAAGGAGTGTAGTCAAACACTAATAGTTGGCTATTTTTCACTATTTAGGCATTTTCTGGCAGTCGGTAATTTGGGGTTTAGCTAAGAGGAGAAACACTAGAAACAAAAGTCAAGCTGGTTAATTTTGTAGGTGAATTCAACACCATACTCTTTTTATCACATTTAGTTTCACTGTATCAATAGGAGTATTGTCATAACAAGCAACTAGAATCTATACCCAACCTAAAATGCCAGTGTCGTCTTCTACTTCAGGAGCTCTGAGGGAGGAGAAGGCTGTCATTTCTTTTTTATAACTGCTTTTCACATTATGGGATGCAGGCTCTAATCCTGAGACAGCTCTCACACGCTAGAAAGGTGGTTAAACTTAGAACCAAACTGTTTAAGCATCTCATGATTAAAACACAAAGGCTTTATATATTCCTAATAAAACATGATTTTCCCTTTAATATCTCCCTATGATAACAGAAGGGAATTTTATAGGTATACAATGACTGTTTTGCATACGAGAAGACTAATAGTTTCATACAGATATATGTAGCTTGTATCATCGGTTAGGGGGCAGGTGTAAAGGAATAGGTACCAGAAAGTAGCCAACGTCCTATTTTGAAGTCTGCCCCGATCTTAAAGCACATCAGCAATGAAAACTCTTGTAAATACTCCCACTTTATGTACAATGCACCTACAATATGGCCCTTTGGTTTGTATATTTGGGTTGATTGCGTTTAGTTTTGTTTTATTTTTATCATGTGAATTTTATAATGTATATGAAAGAATGTGACCTTTATGAAGCATAATAATTAACTGCTGACTCATGAACCCACCTCCTAACTTTAGGGCCAGAACATGACCAATATCACTGCCTCTACCGGTGTCCTTTTCCTTTATCCCATACCCCTGCCCCTCCCCAGAGAGGGAATGTTGTAGGTATCGTTGCTTTGCTTTTCTTAAAATACATATTTGGGGGGGGGGGCTGCATATTTAAATATTCTTAAACAGTTGTTTCATTTGTACTGTTGAGTTTTGCTTGCTTTTGAGCTTTATGAAAATGTTACATGTGTGTCATCTACCTTGCTTTCTGCATGCATAGTTCAAGATTCACCCTTGTTGTTACACGTGCTATGTGTAGCTCATTGCTTTTCACTACTATAAAATATTCTCTTGAGTGAATAAATCACAGTTCATTTCTCCATTCTCTGATTGGCAGAATTTGAATTATTTTCCAGGTTTTGCTACTGTGAACACTGATGCCTGTGTCTGGGTGCATGTGCAGGAGTTTCTTTATATCTCACGTCTAGGAGTGGAATTGATGGGGCTCAGGGAAAGCAAGGGTTCAACTTTATAGGATAGTGTCATTATTTTCCAGAGTCATTGTACCGGTTCATACTCCCCCCAGCAGTACAGAGGAGTTCCTGCAGACCCACATCTTCTCTGACCTTGCCATTTTCAGAATTCATAGTTTTATAACCATTATCAATGGTTGTAAAATTCTATCTCATCGAAGCATTAATTTGCATGTCCCTAATCTTTGTATGTCTATTCATCTTACTTTTGTTTATGTGTTCATTCTTATTTCTTCTTCTGTGAAAACCTAGTCATGCTTTTTGCTCACTTTTCTGTTTGACTGGCTTCTTTTTTATTAATTTATTGAAATTCTTTATGTATTGTAAATATTGAGTTAGTAAGGGGTGGGGTAAATCTCCATTTGTGTCCTATCCATTTTGATTGTGTATTTTGCTCAGCATTTGCTTTGCTTTGCTCATTTGCTTAGCATTTATTTTAATAACAATAAATTATATTATTTTGCCGAAAACTTGTTATAAATTTTATTTTAGATTTTATTTAAATTTAAGTTAGTTAACATGAGGGTATTACTAGTTTCAGGGGTTATTGTTACAAATTTTAATGTTGTTATATGTGTATCATTCTTATCCTTTAAGTTTATCTTTTTTCTGTTAGGAAACTTTCCTAACTCAAGGTCATAAAGATAATAGGACCTTTATCCCAAAAGTTTGAAAGTTGTGCCTGTTGTATTTATGTCTTTAATCCCTGTAGAGTTGGTGTGTGATCTGTGGTGTGAGGTAGGGACTCCATTCATCTGTTCCATGTACGTGAGGAGTTGCTTTGTCACCGTTTACTGACAGCCCCCCTGAGTGGTACACAGTTTCATCTCTGTCATATGTGGACATATAGTTCTAATCACATTCATAAAGTAGCTGCATTGATATCTTCTTAGTATAATGATTTAGTTACTAATGGCTTTAAAAAGTCAAATTTAAGATTTAAATGTATTTCTGCTTTTTTCCTCCCGAATAGTCTTCCTTCAAAATGTTGTCATTGTAACTTTTTTGTTCAAATTAGATAATTTTATAATTCCCATCAGAATTAATGTTAATTTTTTGTTGATTTTCTGAGGGAGCTATATTTTGAAGAGGAAGGATAGATGGAAGGTCTCAGTAGTGTGTGCTTTCTAAATAGGCCAGAAGTTTTATGATTTCATTTGAAGGTTTTATTGAAATACTAATTTTATTTTTTTTATTATTTTAGGTTCGACCCTTAAACAATGAAGGATCATTAAACCTTTTAGGGTTGGAGACAATTAGATTAATATATTTCAAAAATAAGATGGCAGGTAAGAAAATATACATTAATAGGGTAGCTTCAATGGAAATGTTCTCTCTAAGCTGACTGCCTGAGGAAAATAAATAAGTGGCAGAGACCAGATTTAAACTCAGGTGTATCTTACTCCAAAGTCTGTGATCTTGGCTACTGTCATCCTATCCTCAGTCTATTAAGATAAATGTCTGCCTAAAAAGGCATTCTGTTTAATCTTGCGTAGCTATATACACAATATATTTATTGCTGACCTACCGTGTTATTTTTTTGTGGAGTACTGACTTAAGTGGAGAAAGTATAGCTGTAGGTGTCTTCTGTATTATTGATACCGCAAAATCTAACCCAGGTTTGTGGTGCTAAAATTGTGAAAACTCATCCAGAGTTCTGACCGGGGACTTTGAGAATACATCTTCTGACAACACATAGGGCTTTGAACTTCGGAAGTGCTCATATAAGCTCGGGGCAAGGAGAACGGAGAGGAGGGTCCCAGGAGCACCAGAATTGGGAGCGGGGAGTGGGATCCCCGGGACGGGAATCCAAAGAGGACGAAGGCTGTGTCCACAGTCACTACTTGCCTTCACATTTGATGTCTGGCATGTGCTCTTGGCGCTCTGGAGGTCTCTGGGTTGACGGACTGGTGGCTGTAGGAGAGGACTTCCAAAGGGAGAGTCAGAATTTAGAAATGATTCCCACTCAGTGATGGATCCACCATGAAGCTAATGACACTTGAGCTTTACACCTCTCACCTCTAAGGGCCTGTACTTAATTTTGTATCTGTCTCTTAGAGGAAGTCCAAATATTGGTATAGGATTGGCTCCACCCTCTTCTCACTGTGTGTGGCCGTGATGATCATCCAATATGTCCATGTCCCAGGTCGTGTCCGTAGGATGAAGCCTCTTTCCACTTGCGTCCTCCGTACTCTCATCTTTCTGCTCTGAGCTGGCAGTGGAGGCGGAGCTTAGCGAGGGAATACCTGACAGAATTTCAGCATAGATGTCTTGTCCTCGGGAAAAGGAAGGGGCCCCATTCCCCAGAGGCCCTTTCTTTTTCTCTTTCTTGCTCTGTCCTTCATCTCTCAGGGGCTCAAAGTGTTGCTGCAGCCTTCTGACTGTCCCACATCTCCCATTCCACCATCACTCACCCAGACCTGCTCTGCCCTCACGATTCTCAAATTCCAGAACTGTGTTTCACATGAAGCTACATTATTCCCATCCAAGCAGAATGTTGCTTTTCCGCTAATCATCTGCCCTGGCTTGCCTTGCAGGCTTCCGCTCGTCTCCCTTTTCTCACTTCAGCTTTGTGGCTGTTAAAAATTCTGAAGATTGGCTTTTCTCCTATTCCTTATTTAGAGAATGGCATCCATCATGTTGTGTGAATACAACTGCCTATTTTATTCCTAGAGTGTGTTCACAAATTTCAACAGGTCTGGGGAGCCCTTGGCAGACGGTTTTGTTTACTTCTAGGTATTAAAATTGAAACTGGATGCATACGATTAAGTATCATCTCCTCCCCAAGATCAGACGAGTAGAAATAGCAACAGAGTCTTACCTTGAGTAAAGGAAGCTGGTGGGAGCGCAAGGTTTTGTCCTTAGTGCACATCTGGCAGACTGGATCTTGCAAAGGACATGTTTTATTATGTCAAAATACTTTTAGTTATCATTTACACGAATAATTTCCCGTTTACACCTGACTGCCACACAGCCTCACAGGAAGAGCATTGGACCCAGTGCCTGGAAGGTGAGAGAAGACAGTGCAGAGAGATTGCAGGGGGAGGGAGCAAAGTGACAGGACCCCCCAGGCAACTGCATTTTTCTTGTCTTCCACTAAAATTGTGCCAGTTTTTGTTTATAATCAAATTAAAGTGAAACTGTACTTTGTAAGCTATGTTTAATTTTCACATATACCTGTTTACGTATGTCCTGGTTTAAATTATTATTTGCTGTGAGTATCAACACACAACGTTTAAAAATGAGAATTGCGTAGTTTGTACAACTGGTGAATGTTGGTACCGTCTTAGAGATTAGCAGATAAAAAGCATTTTTGCACTTTAAAGAACATCGCCGTTCTTGGTATTTTTTCTAACAGAAGGGGATGAACTGGTGGTTCCTGAAACATCGGACAATAGTCGGAAGCAGATGGTTAGAAACATCAACAACAAACGGCGCTTCTCCTTCAGGGTCCCAGAAGAGGAGAGGATGCAGCAGAGGAGGTGGGTATGAAGCTGAGGCTTCGTGATACTGGTATTTGACTCGGAAGGCAGATTTGAGCTCTTAAAATCTGTCACCCATCTATGGTATCAAAACTGCAATCATGAATGTACTTTTCAGTGTAGTTTTAATTAATACTCTCCAAAGTGTGAGTATGCACTGGATTAAAGTATCATATTGTAATTCATTGCTCTGTGTATATGAAATACTTACATATTTTTAGACTATGGGCCTTTGTATAATAATATAAACAGCACATGTCTGTATGTGGTACATCTGTTCAGGCTTTAGAACTTCAGGTTAGCTCTCATGAGCAAAGAGCCCAAAGGCTTATAGTATTTCCGGGCACATATAAAAACATCGCTAAAGTGTTTTCAGTTATTTTAAAAGACATACATAGAATGGTCAGAACTATCTGTAAAATACAGCTTTAATATGTAAGTGCTAAGAGAAGCCTATTTTCCCACCAAAATGCTCAAGATCTTTTATTTAAAACAGAAGTTTCTAAGTAAAGTTTTTTTTTATTCTTATGTTAATCCCCATACATTACATCATTAGTTTTAGATAAAGTGTTCCATGATTCATTGTTTGTGCATAATACCCAGTGCTCCATGCAGAATGTGCCCTC